TAGCCACAAGTGCTGTATAGCCACAAGCGCTGTATAGCCACAAGTGCTATACAGCCACAAGCATTACAGCCACAAATGGAAAATGGTGTCGTTAAATGAACGTGATCAGGTTACACTCGTGTTTTAAGCAATATGTCTGTGGTATGTTGAAAAAGACAGAAAAGGTAAAGGAAAAGGTGTAAGAAAAAAGGTGTTTTTATACCATTGAGTAGAATAATAATAATAATAATAATAATAATAATAATAATAATAATAAGGTAGGAGCACACACATTCTGTTTATTTGTGTTAGTTTAAAAAATAGGGATGTCGGGTAGGCAGTTCCACATTTTGTTTTTATTAGGTTTTTTTTACAGTAAAGAAGTAGGTGAGTGTAACTGTTCCTCTCGCCACCTCAGCTTTCATAGTTGCCTGTCAGCCACCTTATCAGTCATAAGAGATCTCTTCTTCTGAGTTGTAGGAGTTCAACACGTGGTGGTTGAGAGCGGTTACTCATATATCTGGAGTATACAGTATACATCCTCTAGGCTACTAGTGTGTTTACATCAGAGAAGCGGGCGCTCCAGCCCAAGCCCCCCCACGTTCACTTCACACCCCCTCTGAGGTTTGGCACTTGCATGCATGTCTCGGTATTCAGAACAAACAAGTAGTTAAGTGTGTAAACCCATTTTATATATAATTTTATTATTTTATTAAACACTAAGACATTTACAACGACAGTTTATAATAATAATTAAAAAATGTGCAAACATCGTTCTTTCCCCAAGTAATTTTTAAGAGTAACGAACCTTGTCGTATACTAGTCTTCAATCTTCTTATAACAAATCAAATCAATGCTAGTGTGAGTTTTACACCTCATAACGTAACGAGGCCATCATGCAGACACTGTTCTATTATCTTCTGCGGGTGCGCCCACACTCTCGTCTACCTCCACGACTGTAGGAATAGGACGGGATGAGATAACCCCCTGACTCATTAACAGTTCTAAGCGGGATTCATCTTTTACATCAAGGAGCGGTCTTTCACCTTCATCCAGTTTGTCTAAAAAACACATCACCAGCTCTGCACAGTTAGTTTCTCCAATGAGCGGTAATAAATCCTTTGAGAACTTTACATATTCGCTTAGCGCTGCTCTCATAGTAGTGAATGGGAAGCTGATTGTATTAACCATCCCGTTGAAATATCCAAGTCCTTGCATGAGGTCAATAATCAAAGTGTCATCTACGGGCTTTGTTACCCGAGGAGGGGAAAATGGGACCGCTCTCTTAATGAAAGCGCGGTCTTTCATAAGATTGAGGTACGTACACTGGGGATAATATCGTGCATGAAGTGTCCAGGGATCATCTGAGAGTTCAAAGTTCGCAATACCTCCAGCACAGTAAAAACAGGGGAAACGATCTCCGACTCCTAAGAAAAAAAAATGAAACACTAACAAATAAATAAATAAATGAGCGAGGGCCTCGTAGGTATGCCTTCCCATGGTGGCCACCCCCCCCCCTACTCCGTCCTCAACATAGCCTTCTCGATCCTGCATACTTTATTTAACTACTAGCAGTAGCTGGCCATGCGTTGCTGTGGCACAGCAACGCGTGTGCATTGCTGAGCCACAGTAACCTTCCCTGTCCCCCAGTTCTCCCCACCATTCCCCCCTCACCCATCTCCTCAGCCTCCCAACCATTCCCCACTCCCCTGTCTCTTTGTCCTCCCCAAAATTCTCCTTTCCCCCATCCCCTCGTCCCCACCATCCCAAACTCCTCCATCCCCCCGTCCTTCCCCCACCATTACCCCCTCCCTTGTCCCCTCGTCTTCACCACCATCTCTCACTTCCGTCCCCTCGTCATCCCCACCATTCCCCACTCCCTCGTCCGATGCCTTCCCAAATGGTCTGATGTTCCCATCAGAAAATTGGTAACTTGAAGTGATCTGATGTTCCCATCACTGAAATATAAGAAAACAGTTAAAAAAATGAAATGAAAATATAAAAAAAAATATATATATACTCACGAAATGAACGGTATGGTAAACAACACAGCTCAATTCCAATGCAATTCACTCAAAATAATTAAATCAAAATGAAAATAAATCAAAATCTATGAAATTTCAATTTATCAATGCAATCAGAAACACTGAAATGGAATTGTAGCATATTTAGTATAGCATGTGTGTTGCACCTAGGAGCCGGTCGGCCGGTCGGCCGAGCGGACAGCACGCGGGACTTGTGATCCTGTGGTCCTGGGTTCGATCCCAGGCGCCGGCGAGAAACAATGGGCAGAGTTTCTTTCACCCTATGCCCCTGTTACCTAGCAGTAAAATAAGTACCTGGGTGTTAGTCAGCTGTCACGGGCTGCTTCCTGGGGGTGGAGGCCTGGTCGAGGACCGGGCCGCGGGGACATTAAAAGCCCCGAAATCATCTCAAGATAACCACCTACATGCAACAGATGGTACTGTTTTTCAAGAAAAGCACAGTTTTACCTGGCACAGGTGTGGCCTCTATACTTATACTTGCGAAATGAACAGTATGGTAAACAACACAGCTCAATTCCAACAATATCACACAAAATAATTACATAAAAAATATAATAAATCGAAATCTATGAAAAACAATTATCAATGCAATTGGAAACATCGAAATGGAATTCGTGACATATTTAGTATAGCGTGCATGTTGCTATTATGTGCAACAGATGGCGCCGTTTTTCAAAAACGCATGTTTTTACCTGTCACAGGGGTGGCATCTATATAGTAGGTATATAAAATCATGCGCCTATTCGAATGCAAACGTTGTGTCAAAATTTCAAAGCAATCGGTGTAAAGCTTTTGGAGATTACAGCGTGTTTTGCTCTTACGCCCAACAGATGGTGCTTTAAAAAAAAAAAAAAAAAAAAAATGTTTTTTCCTGTCCCAGGTGAGGCATGTATATAGTACATATATAAAAAGACGCGCCTATTCGAATGTAACGTTGTGTGAAAATTTCAAAGCAATTGGTGAAGAACTTTCAGAGATTAGCGGTTATGCGCAAACGAACATTTCCATTTTTATTTATATAGATATATATCCACATGCTTAACTCTACATTACATACTCACACATATTTACCTTACAACTACTCAACACGCTTCTATACTTACATTTTTATTCCAGAGACACACACCCCCCCCCCCCACCCCACGAGACACACACCTGCCGCGCCCAGCTTTCCTCTGCGACTCACAAAACCCGCGCGGCACCACACACACGCGCCGCGGGACCCTTCCCCCCAAACCCCCGGAGATGTATACTCCGCCTTCACCTGCTTTAGGTGTGTAATTGCACACCTAAAGCAGGTGTGGCGCTCGGTCTACATCTCAATTTACGCTACTTTCAGGGCCCTGTATACCACCTATCCTGGGACCAATCCTGGAATATGCAGCTCCAGCCTGGAGTCCATACCTAGTTAAAAACAAGACAAAGTTAGAGAAAATTCAGGGGTATGCCACCAGACTCGTCCCGGAACTGAGAGGTATGAGCTACGAGGAAAGGCTAAAGGAGCTGAACCTCACGTCCTTAGAAAACAGAAAAGTATGGGGAGACATGATAACCACCTACAAAATTCTCAGTGGAATTGATAGGGTGGACAAAGACAGTCTTTAGCACGGGTGGGACACGAACAAGGGGACACAGGTGGAAACTTAGTAACCAAATGAGCCACAGAGACATTAGAAAGATTTTTTTCAGTGTCAGTAGTTAACGAATGAAATGCATTAGGCAGTGATGTGGTGGAGGCTGACTCCATACACAGTTTCAAATGTAGATATGAAAGAGCCGAATAGGCGCAGGAACCTGTTACATCAGTTGACTGACAGTTGAGAGGCTGGACCAAAGAGCCATAGCTCAACCTCCGCAAGCACAACTAGGTAAGTACACAGGAAGCAGCCTGTAGCAGCTGTCGAACTCCCAGGTACCTATTTATTGCTAGGTGAACAGGTGTATCAGAGTGAGAGAAACTGCCCATTTGTTTCCGCCTTCATCGGCGATCAATCCCCGGTTTTTAGGACTACGAATCCCGAGCGCTGTCCACTCAGTCGTCAGGCCCCCCTATGTGGTAAGGGGGTCATTCCATCTCAAATCACCAAAAAGTCACCTATGGCTCCCACTCGACCCTCTCCAAATGCCATGAAATTTTGTAGCAAGATAATCCTAGACCCCCAATGACACTGCAAAATATTAAAGCTCAATCTGCTTTGGTTCTTAAATAACAGGTCCATATTGAATGGGCTCTCGTCCCGTTAATGCGCAAGTACCACAAAAATGACCAACTTTGACCCTTTGTTAAATCACTTCTATTACCTGTAGGAGTGTGAGATGTGACATACCAGGTCAAATATAGTGTAGAATAACGTAGTGTAATCGAAAAAGCAGTATGGGTGGCTATCCATCCATGCTAAAATCACTGCCAAATTTTGTCGCGAGAAATTTGGACCCCAATCTGGAGATTACTTCCTTATCACCAAAAGGTCTAAACGCCATGATTTTTTTCAACGATGTATAATAAGCACAATATTATGCAGTGATGCAATAGCAACTCTGTTGTATCCATATGTCTAGTTGTCGCCTACTTGAAAGTTGGCCAAAAAAAAAATTATGTGCACAACTAGCCAACTTTCAAGGCAAAATATTTCAATATGCGTCATTCCCAATTTGGTTTTGAATGACACCATTGGATAGAGAAAAAATTTCTGTACAAAAGTAACTTTTATTTAGGTTGGGATCTGAATTCCAAGTTCAGCCAGAGGACTCTGAAAATGACATACCTTGGTGCGATATCGAAAAAATCAAATTATGATTGTCAATCTTTTTGTGCACTGATCATGGCTTTTTTTCTTTCCATTCTTTCCGGGACACATTCGATTAAATTCTTCACCCTCAAAAAACTGTACTACCCTTTCCTTCACTTCCTCAGGAACTGACTTGCCCTCCATTTTCTTAGGAATTGCTAATATTCCTCGTTCTTCTTTCAGCTTCCTAGCTTCCCTTGTATTCTGAAACTTTGAATTGCTCCATTGTCTTTTTGATAGGCCAGCTTTGTGGCACGAGGGTTAGGGTTTGTATATTTTCTTGGCGCTTTGCTACATGGAACTTCAGATTCATTTCTTCAATGAGTTTATTGAAGTCTTGGCAATTTGTGCACTGTTGGCTAGAGGTTGGTACCAACAGGTTTTGGCTATCAATATTTCCAATTGTAGCAATCTGTTTGGCAATTATTTCCTGTGCTTGGCTAATCTTACGCTTTGCATAACCATGCTTATCCCTTACTCGTTGATATTTAATAGGTAAGATGCCTAATACTGATAAACTTGTGTTTACACTTTCACAGATTTCCATATTATCAGCAGGACCATCAGAGTCAGCAGAGCTGGACTCACTTACCTGCTCACTGTCGAATTCCTTTCTGCATGATGTGCACAACTTTTGGCCAGGCCTAATACTGACTTTCAGCATATCTGACATTTTCTCTGCAGTAGCTATTGTGATTGGTCGCAAATTTTTTCGCTTTATATGGCATGTCTTCTTGAAGGGATTGCAGCAAGTTTATGGCAAAAATTCAAATTTCGTCAACAGTAAAGCTTTGTGATGGAGGCATACTTGAGATTCTCCATCCAAGTTCAGTTCACTTCGCCTTGCTATCAGTGTTTGATCTTCTGCACTATACTGTTTTAGAAACTTCAAGCCTTTGTTGGGAGTGTAGGTTGTCAAGTGACATTCAGAAGAGCCACGCTCATGGCTAGCAATAGCACATGGCAATAAACCAATGTAATCCTGATTCATGACGTATCTGTAATCGAATTCAAATCAAATTATTTAACTAACTGAATACAGTAATTTCAAGTGAGACCTGTAATACATTAATATTAATATTGCTTTTTATTTATTTGTGTCTTTATTGCAGGTAAAAACACAAGTAAGTAAACATCAATGTTTGACCTGCTGACACGATACTACAAAGATGTAAAGATAAATATAGAACAGGAACCAAAAATAGCACTGATTGTTTAATAATAATTCTGAATCCCACCCAAAAATGTTCTACCAAATGAAGCTTACAAATTTTCCAATCAGTTTGGATATCAATTTGCTAGCAGTCATGATCAGTGCACAAAGATGGAGAATCATAATTAGATTTTTTCGATATCGCACCATGGTATGAAATTTTCAGAGTTCTCTGGCTGAACTAGGAATTCAGATCCCAACGTAAAAAAAAATTACTCTTGTACAGAAAAATCTGCTCTATCCAATGGTGTCATTCAAAACCAAATTGGGAATGACGCATATTGAGACATTTTGCCTTGAAAGTTGGCTAGTTTTGCACATAAAATATATTTTGGCTAACTTTCAAGTGGGCCACCTCTGGACATATAGATACAACAGAGTTCCTCTTGTATCACTGCATAATATTGTGCTTGTTATAGTAGTAGGCATCCTTCAGTGTCAGGAGACTATGGAGTTGCGCCCTAGTTGTCAATCCTGGTGCAGCGTCTGGTGTGACTGATGAATCCGAGAGTGGCAGTCCATCCCACACCGAGCACAAAGTCCGATTCTGGTCTGTCTTCCTGGCTACCGACTTTCCTTCTCTGTCTCTTTGCCTCCGATTCCTTGGCAAGTGACTCCTCGAATTGTGCTTGTTATACATCGTTGCTAAAGATCTTGGCGTTTAGACCTTTAGGTGATGAGTAAGTGGTCTCAAAATTGGGATCCAAATTTCTCACGACAAAATTTGGCAGTGATTTTAGCATGGATTGGTAGCTGAATGGCCACCCAAACTACATTTTTGATTACACTGCTGTATTCCGCACCGAACGTTGTCCTGGTATGCCAAATTTCACACCTCTCTGGGCACTACACGTGATTTGATAGAGGGTCAAAGTTGGCCCTTTATACGATATGAACGCATTAACGGGATGAGAGCCCATTGAACATGGACCTATTATTTAATAACCAAAGCAGATTGAGCTCTAATATTGTGCACAATTTCATTAGGGGTCCAGGGCTACTTTATTACAAAATTTCATTAGATTTAGAAAGGGTCGAGTGGGAGGCCTTTGGTGAATTCACGTGGAATGACCCAAGGCCTAGATGAGGAAATCGTCGAAACCAATTCAATACATAACTTTACATGTAAATATAAGAAAAAGATTGAAACGAGTCACTGCACTGAAGAAATGAAGGCCGGGGCTAAGGAACAGACGCCCGACCTGCAAGGTGAACTGGGTGAACTGGGCGAACTAGGTGAACTGGGCGAATTGGGCGAACTAGGTGAACTGGGCGAACTGGGTGAACTGGGCGAACTAGGTGAACTGGGTGAACTGGGCGAACTAGGCGAACTGGGCGAACTGGGTGAACTGGGCGAACTGGGCGAACTAGGTGAACTGGGCGAACTGGGTGAACTAGGTGAACTGGGCGAACTGGGTGAACTAGGTGATAACTGGGCGAACTGGGTGAACTAGGTGATAACTGGGCGAACTGGGTGAACTAGGTGATAACTGGGCGAACTGGGTGAACTAGGTGATAACTGGGTGAACTGGGTGAACTAGGTGAACTGGGTGAACTAGGTGAACTGGGTGAACTAGGTGAACTGGGTGAACTAGGTAAACTGGGTGAACTAGGTAAACTGGGTGAACTTGGTGAACTGGGTGAACTGGATCACGCTGGACGAGTGATCATGTGGTCCTGGGATCGATTCCGGGCGACGGCGAGAAACAATGGACAGAGTTTCTTTCACCTTAATGTCCCTGTTACCAAGCAGTAAATAGGTACCTGGGAGTTAGACAGCTGTCACGGGCTGCTTCCTGGAGTGTGTGTGTGTGTGTGGTGTAAGGGGAAAATTAGTAGTTAATAACAGTTGATCGACAGTTGAGAGGCGGGTCGAAAGAGCAGAGCTCAACCCCCGCAAACACACCTAGGTGAACAACTAGCCAACTAGGTGAACAACTAGGTGAACAACTAGCCAACTAGGTGAACAACTAGGTGAACAACTAGCCAACTAGGTGAACAACTAGGTGAACAACTAGCCAACTAGGTGAACTAGGTGAAAAACTAGCCAACTAGGTGAATACTGAACCTATCAATAACGACAGCAACAATTCAGTCAATACGTCGTCAATAATTCATGAAATGCAAACGGGTTGAAAGGAAAGGTGGGGGTGAGGGAAGAAGGGAGGTGGGGGGTGAGGGAAGGTGGGGGGTGAGGGAAGGTGGGGGTGAGGGAAGGTGGGGGTGAGGGAAGAGGGAAGGTGGGGGGGTGAGGGAAGGTGGGGGGTGAGGGAAAGGGGGGGTGAGGTGGGGGGGAAGGTGGGGGGTGAGGGAAGGTGGGGGGTGAGGGAAGGTGGGGGGTGAGGGAAGGTGGGGGTGAGGGAAGGTGGGGGGTGAGGGAAGGTGGGGGGTGAGGGAAGGTGGGGGGTGAGGGAAGGGGGGGTGAGGGAAGGTGGGGGGTGAGGGAAGGTGGGGGGTGAGGGAAGGTGGGGGGTGAGGGAAGGTGGGGGGTGAGGGAAGGTGGGGGTGAGGGGGTGAGGGAAGGGGGGGTGAGGGAAGGTGGGGGGTGAGGGAAGGTGGGGGGTGAGGGAAGGTGGGGGGTGAGGGAAGGTGGGGGGTGAGGGAAGGTGGGGGGTGAGGGAAGGTGGGGGTGAGGGAAGGTGGGGGGTGAGGGAAGGTGGGGGGTGAGGGAAGGTGGGGGGTGAGGGAAGGTGGGGGGTGAGGGAAGGTGGGGGGTGGGGGGTGAGGGAAGGTGGGGGGTGAGGGAAGGTGGGGGTGAGGGAGGGGGGGGGTGAGGGAGGTGAGGGAAGGGGGGGTGAGGGAAGGTGGGGGTGAGGGAAGGTGGGGGGTGAGGGAAGGTGGGGGGTGAGGGAAGGTGGGGGGTGAGGGAAGGTGGGGGTGAGGGAAGGTGGGGGGTGAGGGAAGGTGGGGGTGAGGGAAGGTGGGGGTGAGGGAAGGTGGGGGTGAGGGAAGGTGGGGGTGAGGGAGGTGGGGGGTGAGGGGGTGAGGGAAGGTGGGGGTGAGGGAAGGTGGGGGGTGAGGGAAGGTGGGGGTGAGGGAAGGTGGGGGGTGAGGGAAGGTGGGGGGTGAGGGAAGGTGGGGGGTGAGGGAAGGTGGGGGGTGAGGGAAGGTGGGGGGTGAGGGAAGGTGGGGGTGAGGGAAGGTGGGGGTGAGGGAAGGTGGGGGGTGAGGGAAGGTGGGGGGTGAGGGAAGGTGGGGGTGAGGGAAGGTGGGGGTGGGGGTGAGGGAAGGTGGGGGGGTGAGGGAAGGGAAGGTGGGGGTGAGGGAAGGTGGGGGGGGGTGAGGGAAGGTGGGGGGTGAGGGAAGGTGGGGGTGAGGGAAGGGGGGGTGAGGGAAGGTGAGGGAAGGGGGGGGTGAGGGAAGGTGGGGGTGAGGGAAGGGGGGGGGTGAGGGAAGGGAAGGGGGGGGTGAGGGAAGGTGGGGGTGAGGGAAGGTGGGGGTGAGGGAAGGTGGGGGGGAGGGAAGGTGGGGGTGAGGGAAGGTGGGGGGTGAAGGGAAGGTGGGGTGTGAGGGAGGTGGGGGTGAGGGAAGGTGGGGGGTGAGGGAAGGTGGGGGGGTGAGGTGAGGGGGGGGTGAGGGAAGGTGGGGGGTGAGGGGGGGGTGAGGGAAGGTGGGGGTGAGGGAAGGGGGGGTGAGGGGGGGGTGAGGGAAGGTGGGGGTGAGGGAAGGTGGGGGGTGAGGTGGGGGTGAGGGAAGGTGGGGGGGGTGAGGGAAGGTGGGGGGGTGAGGGAAGGTGGGGGTGAGGGAAGGTGGGGGTGAGGGAAGGTGGGGGGTGAGGGAAGGTGGGGGGTGAGGGAAGGTGGGGGTGAGGGGAAGGGAAGGTGGGGGGTGAGGGGTGGGGGTGAGGGAAGGGGGGTGAGGGAAGGTGGGGGTGAGGGAAGGTGGGGGTGAGGGAAGGGGGGGGTGAGGGAAGGTGGGGGTGAGGGAAGGGGGGGGTGAGGGGTGGGGGTGAGGGAAGGTGGGGGTGAGGGAAGGTGGGGGGGGGTGAGGGAAGGTGGGGGGTGAGGGAAGGTGGGGGTGAGGGAAGGTGGGGGGTGAGGGAAGGTGGGGGTGAGGGAAGGTGGGGGTGAGGGAAGGTGGGGGTGAGGGAAGGTGGGGGTGAGGGAAGGTGGGGGGTGAGGGAAGGTGGGGGTGAGGGAAGGTGAGGGAAGGGGGGGTGAGGGAAGGTGGGGGTGAGGGAAGGTGGGGGGTGAGGGAAGGTGGGGGGTGAGGGAAGGTGGGGGGTGAGGGAAGGTGGGGGGTGAGGGAAGGTGGGGGTGAGGGAAGGTGAGGGAAGGTGGGGGGTGAGGGAAGGTGGGGGTGAGGGAAGGTGGGGGTGAGGGAAGGTGGGGGGTGAGGGAAGGTGGGGGTGAGGGAAGGTGGGGGTGAGGGAAGGTGGGGGTGAGGGAGGAAGACGGGTGGAAAAGAACGAGCAAGAGCCGCAGTTTGTTCCTACACGACCTGATTACCGTGAGAATAGTGGTGGGGGGGTGGTAGGGGGGGGGGGGGGTGGTGGTGGTGGGTGGTGGGGTGTGGTGGGTGGTGGTGGGGGTGGGCGGTGGGTGGGGTGGTGGGTGGTGGTGGTGGTGGGGGTGGGGGGTGTGGTGGGTGGTGGTGGTGGTGGTGGGGTGGTGGGGGTGGGTGGTGGTGGTGGGGGGGTGGTGGGTGGTGGGTGGTGGTGGTGGTGTGGGGTGGTGGGGTGGTGGTGGGGTGGTGGGTGTGGTGGGTGGTGGTGGTGGTGGGTGGTGGGGGGTGGTGGGGGTGGTGGTGGGCGGTGGGGTGTGGTGGGTGGTGGGGTGTGGTGGGTGGTGGGGGTGTGGTGGGGTGGTGGTGGTGGGTGTGGTGGGTGGTGGTGGTGGTGGTGGGTGGTGGTGGTGGTGGGTGGTGGGGTGTGGTGGGTGGTGGTGGTGGGTGGTGGTGGGTGGTGGGGTGTGGTTGTGGTGGTGTTGGTGGGCGAGGTGTTGTTGTCCACCCCACACTGGGTACGAGTACTCCCTAACGTTATCTTACACGTTGTGATCATATCCCCTCAGTGTGAGTGTGGCTCCTGTGTAGGGAGCCGGTCGGCCGAGCGGACAGCACGCTGGACTTGTGATCCTGTGGTCCCGGGTTCGATCCCGGACGCCGGAGAGAAACAATGGGCAGAGTTTCTTTCACCCTATGCCCCTGTTACCTAGCAGTAAAATAGGTACCTGGGTGTTAGTCAGCTGTCACGGGCTGCTTCCTGGGGGTGGAGGCCTGGTCGAGGACCGGGCCACGGGGACACTAAAGCCCCGAAATCATCTCAAGATAACCTCAAGAAGATAACGAGTGTGGTTCCTGTGTGTGAGTGTGGTTCCTGTGTGTGAGTGTGGCTCCTGTGTGTGAGTGTGGCTCCTGTGTGTGTGTGAGGCTCCTGTGTGTGTGTGAGGCTCCTGTGTGAGTGTGTGGCTCCTGTGTGTGAGTGTGGCTCCTGTGTGTGAGTGTGGCTCCTGTGTGAGTGTGGCTCCTGTGTGTGAGTGTGGCTCCTGTGTTGAGTGTGGCTCCTGTGTGTGAGTGTGGCTCCTGTGTGTGAGTGTGGCTCCTGTGTGTGAGTGTGGCTCCTGTGTGTGAGTGTGGCTCCTGTGTGAGAGTGTGGCTCCTGTATGAGTGTGGCTCCTGTGTGAGTGTGGCTCTTGTGTGTGAGTGTGGTTCCTGTGTAAGAGTGTGGCTCCTGTGTGTGTGTGAGGCTCCTGTGTGTGTGTGAGGCTCCTGTGTGAGTGTGTGGCTCCTGTGTGTGAGTGTGGCTCCTGTGTAAGAGTGTGGCTCCTGTGTGTGTGTGAGGCTCCTGTGTGTGTGTGAGGCTCCTGTGTGAGTGTGTGGCTCCTGTGTGTGTGTGGCTCCTGTGTGTGAGTGTGGCTCCTGTGTGTGTGTGTGTGGCTCCTGTGTGTGTGGCTCCTGTGTGTGAGTGGCTCCTGTGTGTGAGTGTGGCTCCTTTGTGAGAGTGTGGCTCCTGTGTGTGTGTGTGTGGCTGCTGTGTGTGTGTGTGTGTGGCTCCTGTGTGTGTGTGTGGCTCCTGTGTGTGTGATAGTGTGGCTCCTGTGTGAGAGATAGTGTGGCTCCTGTGTGAGAGTGTGGCTCCTGTGTGTGTGTGTGAGTGTGGCTCCTGTGTGTGTGTGTGAGTGTGGCTCCTGTGTGTGTGTGTGAGTGTGGCTCCTGTGTGTGTGTGTGAATGTGGCACCTGTGTGTGTGTGTGAGTGTGGCTCCTGTGTGTGTGTGTGAGTGTGGCTCCTGTGTGTGTGTGTGTGTGGCTCCTGTGTGTGTGTGGCTCCTGTGTGAGTGTGGCTCCTGTGTGTGTGTGTGTGTGTGTGTGGCTCCTGTGTGTGTGTGTGGCTCCTGTGTGTGTGAGTGTGGCTCCTGTGTGTGTGTGTGGCTCCTGTGTGTGAGTGTGGCTCCTGTGTGTGTGTGTGTGTGGCTCCTGTGTGTGTGTGTGATTCCTGTGTGTGAGTGTGGCTCC